GATGATCAACTTCTCTTTTTCTACATATCACCTCTCGGATCTGACGCCTGACGTCCCTGGTGAGATTGAAAGTTCAAGTTACACGTTGTTACCCATTTTCTCTACACCATGTTTCCGTTTCACATATTGTAGCACTTGTCTGAACACATTTCCATTAAATCTGCTAGTTACGATGTACTTTATGACAATGGAACAAATGAGTGCATCAATGAAAGTAATAACACCAGGTGTTCGCAATTTCTAGTATATTATCAGCATGTGTATATGAACCACTATCACACAGTGATGATACCAGGTGTTCGCGATTCTGTCTATATCATTAGCATGTGTCTATTACCTACGAGGGCGAAAACATCGGGGTTCATATTTTTCATACGATGGCCAAGGGCAAAATATCACTTTGTCATGGTGACGTGACGTCATGAACAATGCTATGGCGTCACGTTTCTTCTGTGACGTTGCGTTCTACATGCGGCAACGGCGGGCAGCCAGTCAATGTTTGAACGTAGATTTGGGTCTATTTTCCTCAATTTGACGACTTTGGTAATAAACAGAATATAATATTCGTGCCCATATCTTACTAGTTCGCGATTCCGACTATACCACTGGCATGTGTATATGAACCACTATCAAACAGTGATGATACCAGGTGTTCACCAAAATGGAAAACGTGTCATGCCCGACGGTCACAAACACAAGCATAGTCAAAACAGTGTCCTACCCAAACAAGATGGCACATATGACACGTGCCAAAAATAAGGAATTGAGATATCATTTGGTTACTGATCCGTCAAATTTGAGAATGTTCTTCACAGATTACCATGGAAATTTTTAAAACTTAACGAATGTATTGAAAATAACAAAAGACAAAATTCAACAATGAAACAAGACAGTAAGAAAAAGCCACGAGGATTATTTTTTCCTTTCTCAAATGTCCTATCCACAAATCTGACACAGATGTTTTCAGTGAGGAGGGTTTCTTCAGTACATTTCAGGTGATCTTTGCTTCTTGTTTGTCATGCACTTTTATGGATAGGGCGGTGGGGTAGCCTAGTGGCTAAAGGGTTCGCCCCTCACGACGAGGACCCGGGTTCGATTCCCCACATGGGTACAATGTGTGAAGTCCATTTCTGGTGTTCCCCGCCGTGATATAGCTGGAATATTGCTAAAAGCGGCATAAAACTCACTCACTCACTTTTAGGGATAGATATATGTGATCACAATGCTGTGCCCTATAGATTAAGAAATGACATTTTTCCCGAGTTTTTCCGCATCATACTGACTGAGTTTGGTTTTACGCCGCTTTTAGCAATATTCCAGCATCATTACCGTGGGGGACACCAGAAATGGGCTTCACACATTGTACCCATGTGGGGATTCGAACCCGGGTCTTCGGCGGGATGAGCCAACGCTTTAACCACTAGGCTACCCGACCGCCCCTACCGCATTATATAGTGGTGTACAAAATAAGTGTTCACATAACTAATTATGTTTCTGTTTTAGATTGCAAAAGTATACCTGAATCCTTTTAAGTTTTGAAAATGGTATTAATTCCATTTGTCTGTAAATATATCTGTTCCCGGTGGAATATAGGACTGTGCCTAGTCATTAAAACCGGGAGGTTTGTAATAAACTTTAGTGGGATGGAGCAATATTCTTCTCTTTGAACGCATTTGTTTTATTAGATATGTATCATGCCTCTGTTCAAATATTCCTTAAGTGTTTTTATGGTTGCTGATAATGGTCTAAAATCACATGCCTTGTCATCCATACAGTTTAAATATTTGAACCCTGAGTGACCGGTATAAGGTACTCTGATCAATAGCTTTATGATGCAGACACTATCTTTAATGCTTTCTTCTTGACAGGTATAACTGAATGTACAACCTCAGTTTATGAATGCCACATAGGTTTTTTTTTCAATGGCGAGAATGGCGTGTTTGGTTTATGTCTGAAACATTCAAGTTTTAACCGTACTAGCACATGCAGACCTGATGTTTTGATTTTGATCAGCGTTTCATTGAGTATTATATGTTTAGTAGTTTTCGAGTTAGATTGCAATTCATCGGTCCGCTTTTGAGCCAAACGGACTATTATACGATCTGATGTACCGGATCGGGTGACACTGCTACAAAAAGGCGTACATCAGACCGTATTACCCTCGGGAGAAGCATACAACTTATATTATCGATCTAGAGAACACGACCCTCGTGGGGAACTGTGTCTGTACTAAGGACAGGTATTGAGCATAAACGAAATCGTCTTATCACCAAAACCTCGAAGGGCAATATGTCGATTCTGATGACAAGGATTGGGTGCTTGGAACCAGGAACTACGTTTGCTTCCTTCCCCAACCCCTCACACACACAATTTCAAACCACAGTACATCTTAAACCAGGAACTCGTGAATGTCCGGGTTAGAATATTGATCTTCCGTAAGCCATGCTTGTCGTCATAGGTGACTAATGGGATCGGGTGGTCAGGCTCGCTGACTTGGTTGACACATGTGTTACGAGAGTGTGTTTTTTGTAATTTGTATTATCATTGATTAAGTGGTAGTCATTATGGGTCACAATGTGTAAAGTTTTGAGTGTGGGTTGCGTCTCACATCTTGCATCATGTATGTTCAATGACAATTGTATTTTTAGCGGTACGCCTTTTTGATAGCGCTCCAGAGTTGCCTCCTTTTTCTTTTTCTTTTTTGACTCCCGTATGTTCGAGAAAATGTGAGTGGATAGCGATGCTGCCCACCTTTACTAGAATGCTCGAGAACTGTGTAAGAGCTATAGAAAGGCTGGTTGTTGCGTTGTGCGGCGGGACTTACACACGAACTTATCAGATCACTGGAGTTATACACATCTGTCTGCCATCGTCATCGTCTGACCTACATTTCAAGACTGACTGTGCTCGTCTATATTCAACATATGTCATTGTAAGCAACCTTCATTTAGTATATCTGCTCTCACTGTAAATCTCAAGATTCGCGTGAGTTAATATCTTATACTTTAGATTTGTCACTCAATTGCATTGTACTAGATATCTCTATTGTTATTCATTGTAGCTTGCTCATTGTTTGCTCACTATATTATTGAATATTTCAGACTTGTCTGTGTTCTGTTTTGCTGGTTCAAAGGGGAGTCTTAAACTTTGCGTCACGGCAATTATTAACCGTAACACCGTATGTTCCAGAAGTCTAGAATGTCCTTGTTTAGTCCAAGCGACATTTGTCTGTAAGAGTAGCGTTTTATTTAGGTGTGTTTGCCTAATCGTAATTGGGTAAAACCCTGGTCATGAGTGCTCATTTTCCCCCAACTAACCAAGACGATGATGATGATTTGCAGGCGCGTAGCAAACCTTTATTTCGTGTTAGTCCGATACATTGCAAAGCTTTATATTTATATAGTATTGAGAGCTTGCCCAGCTTTCATATACGAACCATCAAAAGTTTAGACTCACTAGTGTAAATGTAGTCGCTTACTTCAGTCAACTGTTCTAAACTAGATTTTGCAAAATATTCCATGCTGTTTAAAGGTACTGGTTACACATGAACTGATGTATTGTAAAACAAATTCGTAACGTTGAAATGTTTATGGTCATTAGTTCAATAAATGATGAAAAATTGTCGAATTCTTAACAAAACTTTACACCAAAATGCAGCTGTTTACATGCACGATATATGCACATGCTTTTCATCAATTTGATGCATGATCCTCGTGCAATTCATCTGCATAAGGTTTGCAGTTGGTTCCCCAAAGTTAGTGGAGAAATCAGTCTTCGATGTAACCACATATATACACTCACTCAGTAACCTCGGCTTGCCCCGTGTGCAAAATACGCATCATGACGGAAAGCACACGTAAAATCTCCAAATCAAGGGCGTAGGTACCATTTTAGCTTACACATGATTCTTTATTACTACCCATCAAAAGTTTAGACTCACTTAAAGCACTCACTATATGTTATGTGATCCAGTGATCAACATCATGAGCATCGATCTACGCAATAGGGATACAGTGACTAGTGTCAACCAAGTCAGCGAGCCTGATCACCCGATCTTGTTAGTCGCCTTTTACAAGCATGGGTTACTGAAGATCAATATTCTAACCCGGATCTTCACGGGTGCCGAGGTTATAGGCATTATATACTCCCAGGTGAAAATTACCTGTTCATGCATGTTATCAATTTTCTTATCAGTGGGTGGTTTCAGCTCTGTGTGGTAACAGAGGTTATACCATCGCTTAGATTGTAAAGCTGCCCCTTGTTTGTTAATCAGAGATTCGTGTTAATCCGTGTTAAAGTGTTATCTTTTATCATGATCCCATATATCGCATGCCTTTAGTTACATACAGCTGCTAATAATACCACTGGGGACTGTGTTCGTATTTATACGACATCCTTATCTCAGGTGCACAGCTCTGTGACAGTACTAGGTACCTGTGTCACAGGTTCGAATCCTGCTTCTAGATTTGTCAGCAACATGCTTCATCTAATGGGTTTTATCAAATCGGTCCACGTCTATGACTTGTCCCACTGTCTTATAAATGAGACTATTTGAAGGAAATTATTTTCAACTGTTAATCCCATTCTGTAGGAAATGGTTCAGATGGTGGAGGATTACCACTGTGAGGGAGGTGGGGTAGCCTCTTGGTTAACGCGTTCGCTCGTCACCCCGAATATCCGGGTTCGATTCCCCACATGAGTACAATGTTCAAAACTCATTTCTAGTGTCCCCGCAGTGGTATTACGTAACACACACTCACTCACTTTTATGAAACGCACGGTAAGAGATACGATGTTGACAAAACTAGAAACACAATAAAGATGTGAAATTCAAACTCACGATCACAGGATCCTGGAGCGCCCATGGGAAGCAACTTCGCTAAGTAAATTGCGACTACTTGTGTCCGTCTTGCTGCGTAGTGGCACGTTAATTAATGAAAGGTGATAAGCGAGAAAGTCGAAAAGAAATGGGCTAAAAAGCAATTTTTATTAAAGCTACCTGATCATATGATCATATTTGCATGCATACTGTTTAGATGCTCGATCAAAACGCAATATACAAGGAAGAACTAAAAATTACAGATTCAAAACCGAATCAATACATAATGTTAAAGACAAAAAACACATACGAGGCTTTCCGACTTTTTCCGAATGTGGTACAGTAAAAGAATTAAACGAATGACTGTCCCCTCACAATTATATCACGTTCGAGAATATTTTTCGAAAAGATGAAATATTTACAAAAACAATATGTCGTAATATTATCTAACATGGATCCTCGGGAGAGGATCAGTCTGAAAGGGTATCTTCCCATTATGACTACTCCCATGTTGCCTACTCATCAACATAAACATGTAATGGAGCACCCCTACACTTAATAATGGACTGTACCTGTATAGTTGATTACTCCCAGTTTGTCTACTCTTTGCAATAAACCTATTAGGGAGACTCCCAGGGCCTACCCGTATCTGAATCATTAGAAGTGAATCAGGGATCTTGTGATCATCGTAGTCATTGTTTGTTTTGATATTTGGACTCTGATTAAAACTTTGTATAGTACAGGTTGTTTGTTTTGGACATAATCTCTCCACTTTAGAACCCAAGATAAGAGAATCCCGCAACTCTGATTAAAGGTACAGATAAGCATCATACTTTGATTTCTCCCCTCAGCTTTTCAGTTAAAGGGCTGTGAAGGTTTTACTGTTCAGTAAGTAGCTGTCCTTCTGGCGTCATCGGCACCGCTCTCAGTCCTCCAATGAAATTACCACTCTCCAACTAGAGAGAATCCAGCTTCACTAGGATGGCCATAGCATCCGCCTTCTTATATTCTGAAATGTCAAAAACCTAAACGTCATTTCCTCAATAAGAAGTATTCTTGTCCATTAAGTAACATTAAACTTATTTCTTCTGATTTTCGGTCGGTGGGGTAGCCTGATGGTTAAAGCGTCCACTCGCCACGCTGAAGGCCGGGTTCGATTCCCCACATGGGTACAATGTGTGATGCCCATTTCCACTGTTCCTCTCCGTGACGCGGACGCTTTAAACCATTAGGCTACCCAACCACCCCTTACAGAGAAAGAAATCATAGCACTGATATAAGGAGGTTAAAAGTAGTTCCTGCCCAGCTTATTAGACTGGATTATCGCATCTGTAACACAAGCGTTATTTCAGAATGATAAATAGCTTTACGTGATAGAGTGAAGGCGTAGCTAACATATGACAGCATTTATTATTTTCATGAGGGATTGTTGTCACATAACTCAGCTGCAAAGATTTTGGACACGGAAAGTTTTTTCATAGGACATGAAAAGTTACATGCTTGCCCCCACTGCAAGTAGATGACTCAAGTGCGAAACTCAAGAGTGAGTTACAGGTTGAAACCCATGGAGCAGATGTGTGGTTCGAATCCACTGTTCTTACCGTGAAGGACAAACCATTCGGTTTGTGGGCGGGTCTTGGTGGCGAATTTTGTATGGACAATATATTTTCTGTTTATGGAGGACATTGTCCTTTTATCAACAGTCTGAGCAGAAATTATGTTATTGATTTCATACAAACCCCACCCCAGAACTCTACACCACTACCACCCCCAAGGCCTACCTACTGGCAAACAAGGATAAGTTGAGCAGTGACCTGACAATGACCCATATTAGCATGTATGAGTGCCGCCCACTGGCGCTTGGCCCAAGGTTGTCCGCGATCAAGTGTAGTGCGACGTGCTACACCGACGTGAGAGTCTTAAGCCACCCTGACACCTGCACGAATTTTGTCCCCGCACTGCCGCGCAATTCGTCGTGGCATTGCGTATAACTTAAATGGTACGCATGAAAGCGCGAAGCCTTATTTGCGCACTGTTCGCGTCCTGTTTACGCATAAGTTGGGCACTTGGCACGCAATGCGGGAGAGAAAATGGTGCGCATTGGCACGCATTGGCACGCTATCGCACGACTTATTTACGACTAGGTCAAGTATAGTTGACGCATTGTTTACGTCTAGTGTACGGCATGGTACGCACGACGCGCATAGTTCCAGCATGGGCATGTATTGTCACAACCACTTCGCGCATGCGTGAAGCTGTCGTGGTATCATTTGGTCCCGCTTTTCCCCGCTTGACGCCACATTATATAAATAGCAGGCACGATACCCAGCTTCATGCATTTCTGTGGACCTACAATATGTTGAAAACCAGAGTACAAGCTCTTATTGCAGAAAAGAAAAGGCGTCTATATCTCGCAGGTGCAGCAATAGTACTTCTTGTAGACCAGCGGGGAAAAATAAAAAATAAAAAATTAAAACAGGCCAAAAAAGAAGGAAGCAAGGACAGTGTGGGTGAGGGAATGGTTGACTAGAATACATCACTTCGGGCACGATGATCAGTTATTGACGGAACTCCACACGGAAGATCAGACAGACAGACAGTCAGATTTATTACAGTATAAGGCCTCGGGCCCAAAATACAGTGTTGCAATCGATTGATAATGTACATTGCATGCATAGATTTTGTTTTAAACTTCATGTCGTGCGTTGAACACTTTGTACAGGAACATAGCTGTAGCTTGGATTGTTTTGTTTTTTATATCAGTGGATTGCATGAGCTGAGCGAATTTATGCAAAGTTGGATTTTCAAAGAAATATTGGTTGATATATGTTTTCCGTAGATGGTGATACTTGGAACAACACAGAAGAACATGGTATTGATCTTCGATGAACTTTTCATTATTAGTTGTGCACATTTCACATAATCTTTGACTGAGACGTATATTTTTATGACGAACAGATTCTATTAATAAGTTGAAGTTGTTGCAACGGAATTTAGCTACAAGTATATACTTGATAAGCTAAGGTTGGATGTCACATTTAAGGTACTTTTCAACATCAAGGAGAGATTTATACAGCTTGTAGTTGCAACATTTAGAGTTGCCATGTAGGGATGAATGCCAGTCCTGGATTAGATTATCTTTCAGTCGTTGCTTCAATTCCAATAAGAACAGATCAATGTTTCCCATGTCTTGTTGTAGCCATACTTGTACAAATCCCAGTTTAAAGAGTATATTTCTAATCTCAGAAGCCCAAGTAAAACGACTTGTATCAGAGATGGATTTAATCATGTAGTAGGCTTGGTAGGGGAGTCTTGAAGGTTTCAGATGGATAAGTCAGCACCAGAATTTAATAGCTTTTGTCATATATGTTAGCTGTAAGTAGGTTTTGCCACATTCTCCAAGAGCCGTATTGTTCGGTGTAGCTTTGCTCAGTCCAAGAAATCTTTTGCAGAATTGAATGTGAACAGTCTCCATGGGCGGATCCAGGAATTTTGAAAGGAGGGGCCTAACGCAAAAAAAATCTTCAATGTGATATTAAGTCATTTTCAAAAGGGGGGGAGGGGGGTCGAACCCCCTGAACCACCCCCAGCCCCCTCTGGATCCGCCACTGGTGTCGATGATTTTCCGATGTGATATCCCCCATATTTCAGCTCCATAGCTTAGTATAGGAACTACCATGCTTTCATACAAATTAAAAAGGTCATTCCAGTTTTATCACAAAATTCTTCAAGAACATTGATTTCTTATGTGGTTGCAGAGTAGTATCTGCTATCATTGATACGTCGTCGGCGAATAGTAGTGCATATAGGAATTTCAGTTAATATAAAAGTACCATCACCACAATGTTCTTCCAGCATGGTGACTAGGTGATTGATAAACATAGTAAATCATTTTAAACTTAATATACATCCTTGACGAGTTCCCATGTTACATGTGAAATATTCTGAGAAACCTGTTCCAGTTTTCACACAAGCTGATAATTTACCATACATGTCACAAATTATCTTGAGGATTTTACCATCTATACCCATAGATTTCAGTTGATTTAGTAAGACATCGTGATGAACGCAATCAAAGGCCTTCGAAAAATCGATGAATAAACAGTGAAACCTTCCATTGCTTTTTTATATATACTTTTGAGTGATTGACTGTAAAACAAACATCTGGTCCACCGTGGAATATCCTGGTCGAAAACCGGCTCGAGTTTCGTGGATCGCTTTATTGTCGTCACACCAGATCTGGAGTCGTGAGTTCAGTATGGAGGTGAACACCTTACACACGGAGTTGATGAGTCAGATGCCTCGGTAATTTCAAGGGTTGTGTCTATCACCTGCTTTATGAAGCGTACATATAATGCTTTTCCCCACTGAGAATGGAATATTCCTGTATCAAAGAGTTTATTAAACAATATTGTTAATAGGGGGTTACATAATGTTTAGTTGATTGTAGAAATTCACCGACTATCCCATCTTCGCCAGGAGATTTGACAGACTTGTTGACAGTAGCGATAGATATATTTTCATAATCTGGCGAGTAGTCAAAGTTTAAAAGAGCACTGAAATGAACGATCCATTGGTTTGCTGAAATATGGTTACTGTTAGAAGATGTTTTCCCTCGATCCTTTTATAGTTTTCCAGAAGAGTTTCGGACTGTTTCTACTTTCTATGAGTTGACGTTGTTTATATTTGAAATAGTGATGCTTCTTTTCATTAAATGCCTTTTTAAAGAGAGAGCGTAAAGTTCTGAATCCAGAAATATCTTTTCCAAAATCCCTATGTTGTCTAAGAGCTCTGTGTTTGTCTTTCTTAATCTTCTCGAGATCCGAGTCCCACCATGGTGGCTGAGTCGGTATACCAATGCTTCCACTTTTCCTCGTAACACACACTTTGTGACAATCCACAGCTGAATGGTATAGATTCATAATAGTTCAAAGGAATATTGTATATCATTTGAAGATGCTTTGAAAGATCCAAGAGGCTACAGATTTTACCTTGAGAATTTCCCCCGACTTGTTCCAAGACATGCATATGGAGAAGTTAACCCCTCATCTTGAGAAAAGACCACATTCATGAGAGAACCGGCGAGACTCAAGCTGGCAACCACTCTTTGCTTACTAGCCACTGGTAATTCCTATGCAAGTCTACATTACAGCTTCAGAGTTGAAGCTACTACAATCGGCAAAGTTCTTACCAGAGGTTTGCAAATCCATCACTGAGGTTTACAAGGACGAAGTATTCAGATGTCCCAAAACTGAAGAGGAGTGGAAAGAGGTTGCTGAAGGTTTTAGTTCCAGATGGAACAACCACAACTGTCTGGAGGCTGTGGACGGCAAGCACGTTGCTATGAAGAAGCCACCCAAAGCTGGATCATTCTACTACAATTATAAGGGCTTCCACAGCATTGTGCTCATGGCCCATGTAAATGCTGGATGCAAGTTATATGTTGATCTTTGGGCAGAGGGTGGTGCTTCAGATGGAGGGACATGGAAGAACTGTAATTTGCTCAAAACTGTCGAGGACAACCGAGCCCGACTGCCTGGACCAGACCCACTCCCTAACGATGACAAGCCTGTGCCATATCATTTCGATGTCCATATTGGGTCTTTGCAGTGACATTCAGCCAATGCTTCTGTTTCTTGTCGAACAGCTGGGGGTGCTGCTTAACAAATTCGGCCAGCTTCATAGTTTCCTCATCCGTCCATTTGTAGTCCGGTATTTTCTTTCTTGCTAACTCTGATCCCTGTTTCTGGTGTGTTTGGGACTTCTTGGGGCTCTACTTGGTGCAGAAACATCAGCAGTCGAGTGGGAGGGGGGAGAAATATCCCTCTCACTCTCTGCAACCTCTGTCTCTCTATCTATCTCTCTGTCTCTGTTTCTTGTCTGGTCTTTTCTTCCAGTATTCTATCCACTGGTCCTCCCCTTCCTCTGGTTGTCTTCTTCTTGGCAGGCATCTTGTTGACTGGTCGCTGTCGTGTTGAGGAATGTGGGGACTGGCGATGGGCACACTTTTAAGTACGCACTGCCGAGTGCGCGGTCGTCGCTGATTAGTGCGCCAACGATGCGTAAAGCAGGCGTGCCCAATGCGTATCAGTTACGTGACATGCGCAAACTATTCGTGCCGTGTGCAAACTATGCGGGAACTCGTCGTGCCATGACCACGTGAACAAGTCGGGACAATACAGAAGTCTCGCCCGCCCACTTCACGACAAGGTAGAAGGCATGAACTTTGCACAATCTGTCGCGACCATGTCGCACACAATTCGTGATCAAAGCGGGCCAATGCGTGACACTGCGTGTCAATGCGCGCAGGGCCGGAGATTGAAACGTGTTTGATACGCACCATCCGCAGTGTTTGAGAGTAGGTTGCGCAATGTTCACGACTAGTTAACAAAGATTATGCGTACCAGAATTTTTTAACATTTCAAAATTTTCTTTGCGCACTGGTACGCAACCCCATACAGTTTATGCACACTTCTGATTACGCCGAATTTACTCACTGGCTCGCAAAATTGCGTACCAGTGCGGGGACAAAATTCGTGTAAGTGTCAAGGTGACCTTATGAGCAAGGCGTGTGCAGCTACGCGCGGAATCATCGTCATGCAATACACGTGCACTATCCTACATCTGCTCTACCTTTCACAAACCAAATGGGTTTGCTCACTGCCGTGCATCGCCTACTTCTCGTAAACGCGTTCTCTGCGCCAGTCCAACTTATCCTTGTTGGCCAGAACGCTGATCGCTCTCCCATTGTATCAGTGTTAAGTTGCATACAAACAGATTACCAGACAACAAATCCATGCCAACCGGCCCGAGCTGCTTATATTATTACACATCTTACCATGTTTCGTGAAAAAATAGGCGTGGATGTTACTCGCAATTTCTGTGAATTATGTTTGTTTAACTCCGCACTCAGCAATATTCCAGCTTCGCTTCAAAGTTTTCCGCTAGTGACTCCTACGCTCTTTTATTAAATAACCTGCCACCTTAAAGGCCGAATGATGCGTACGTTGCAAACATTGGTCATATGAAACTCGGACCTTTCGTCAATTTCCTAGCATGCATAAAGTTTTATTTTGTTTGTTGTTTAACGCCACATTCAGCAATATCCCAGCTATATGGCGACGGTCTGTAAATAATCTGGACCAGACAATCCAGTGATCAACACAATGAGCATCGATCTACGCAGTTGGGACATGATGACATGTGTCAACCAGGTCAGCTATCCTGACCACCTGATCCTGTCAGTTGCCTCTTAGGCATGGGTTGCTGAAGAACAATGTTGAAATACGTGCAGTAATGTAATATACGAAACATGTTGGATGGTGCGTGCGTGCGTGCGCGTGCGTGTGTGCGTGCGTGCGTGCGTGTTTGTGTGTTTTGAGGAGGGTCGGGTTGATGCTTCGTTCGAACACATTACCTGTGGAAATCAAACTTTTCTCAGCAAGTGGTGAATACATGATCGTTGGTCCATTTGGAAACGTGTACTCGGAACACACTGGCTCGCTGTCCAAGACCACTAACCATCCGCTGTCTTGTGTACACTTTCCCAGAAAGTAGTTGATGTAGAAGCGACGGGTCCTCCAGCTTCAATGTTGAATTAAAATTGTATTATTCAATGTGTGAAAATGGTGTGATTTATTGATTGATTGGTTGGCTGGTTAGTTGGTTGGTTGGTTGATTGATTGACGCCTCACTCAGCAATATTCCAGCTAGATGGCGGCGGTCTGTAAATAATCGAATCTTGACCAAACAATCCAGTGGTCAACAGCATGAGCATCGATCTACGCATTTGGCATACGATGACATGTGTCAGCCAAGTCAGCGAGTCTGACCACCCGATCCCGTTAGTCGCCTCTTACGACAAGCATGGGTTGCTGAAGACCAATTATAACCCCTTCAAGGGTCGAATTGACAGTTAATACACTGGGTCAGTAAGTCTTCGCGGTTATAGTGCCTGGGGAACATTTGTTAGGATTGAGATGACATTTTATTTGTAAACATTCTACTACTTTCGTGGGTTTGAGTTCGGGGTTCGAACCAACGCTCTCAGAATGAGGCACCAAATCGCCAGCACATCATGAGGTGAGGTGAGGTGAAATTGGGTTTAACGTCGTACTTGAGAATATTTCGCTCATATGACAACGTGCATGCGTGTGTATGTGTATGTGCGGCTCCTTGTACTAGCCCAGATTGAAGCTGGTTTCATAGTGCTAGCCCACTGAGATACCATGCCGCAGTGAAGCATGAATACCCCACTCAGACACATTATACTGAACCCGAGCCGACCAGTCCTCGTTGTACCCACCAATGCCGAGCGCCAGGCAGGTACCAACAAGTACCATATTTTAACGTCTTATGGTATGACGCGGTCGGGGATCGAACCCGCGACCTTCGCCAGCACACCATGAGAGATCTAACCCACTCAGCCACGGATGGATGTCCGACGACCAAGAGCCTACATCAGGTACTTTGTGTGTGGTGTTTTATGCCGAGGTCAGCAATACCCAAGTTGTGGACGATACAGATTCGAATCTTATCGACCAGTGGTTGATAGCACAAACACGATCAGTGTTTGATGACACATTACCCGAACTTAATATATCCGTACATTTGGTTCCGTTGACTTATTCATACTCAGCAGTGGGTCGCTCTGGGCCCAGTTTCACAAAGCTCTTGTAAGCCTAAGATCTCGTAACTTTTCTCTTAGCATTCGTACCTCCATTACTGTAACATAGGAGGTACGAATGCTACGAGAAAAGTAACGAGATCTTAGATTTACGAGAGCTTTGTGGAACGGGGCCCTGGATTGTCCAGAAGAGGAATGACCATGTTTTCGGGTTCTAATGTCAACCAGTGAGTGAGTGAGTATGCTTTTAGCAATATTCCAGCAATATCACGACGGGGGATACCAGTAATGGGCTCCCCATATTGTACCCGTGTAGGTGTCAACAAGTGAAACTACATTACCTAAGGGAGCGGTGGGGTACCCGAGTGGTTAAAGCGAACACCCGGGTTCGATTCCCCACATGGGTGCAATGTGTGAAGCAAGACAAGACAAAAGAATTGCTGCAGTGATCCGTGGCTCATAGATTCGTTTCTAAGGCACTGATTTTGCGAAACTGGCTACATGTACTGTAAAACCGATCTCACAGAAACATTGAGACTAATTTCACACTAACATAATCTTTATAGCATTTGGTACCTACCCATTGATCCGGAAGATTCTTGAGGAACCAAGACCGGTCCAGGTAGATGATGATACCCTGCTTGAGGTAAACCAGTTCTCCTTGTCCGAATCTTTTCCATTAAATACAATCGTTGCCTTCTCTTTGCTGCCCGCTATCAGAAGGACTTTCACCTGGATGCCATAGGACCAAAATAGTAAACTCTCTAGAGATTTCAATAATTAACCAAATGTATCCATTGTATTCAAAGATGTCGCTGTTGGAGTCAGTCGTAACAACGTTTTTCCCCTCAGAATGAGCTGACCAATGGAACCGAAACCTTGTTGTGATTAGTTGTATATGTCCCGAACTGATATTCAATATGGCCGCCACGAGAGCCATACTGAAAATAAACCTTTATGGTAAATCAAACTAAGTATGCACTTCTGGGAATTTGACAAAAATACATAAGTCGCATGGTTCTGATCAGTTGTGTTATTCTTCAATCATCCAAGTATCAAAGTATTTTATATATCATCTAATACCTTGATACATGTAGAATGCCAGTACAAAAGAACTCCCTGTCTTGACAATCCCCAGAAAACATTCTGTTTGGTGTAAAGGGTAAAATAGTTCTATGAAGGGATCACTGAAAATCAGTGATGACACCAGGTGTTCGCCACCTCACTTGTCATACAGTTTAGGAAAGCATCAAAATATAATTTCATTTGGACGATGAAGTCCACTCAGATATGAGATGATGTGAGATGGGGTTAACATCTCCGTTCAGTATTAGTCCACTTGTAAAGAGATCGTACATGCGCCTGTGCGGGGGTCTGCTAGATAGGACGAACGCTCCTTTAAAAGTGCTAGCTTACTGTGATACCATGTTGTAATTTAAGACGGATACCCCTCTTATACAGATATGATACTGACCATCGAAGTCCATACAATTTGGTTTATACAGCTTGACTCCTGAGTGTCTAGAACTTCAGTCCTGCCCCACAACGACGCACATGTGATTCATATGGTCTGCGCTATGGGCATGCAGTCGGTATGGACTTAGAACAATATAAATGGACTAATTACATTACATACCCATGAAAGACAACTTGATAATTACAATAGTTGTAATTGTAACATTACATATCTCATCACACAAAACCAAATTGTGCAAATTGCCTCCTCTGTTTATGTCACAGGTGGAAAAACCTCAAGAGACTATTCAACAATATTTTCCCCGATAATGATTTTTGAAGGGTGGATATTCCTGGGCACGTAAGCAGTGTTTTATGCCCCACACTCTCATTCGACCATCTGTAACGTGGAGGAGGAACCTGCTCTCATCTGACCAGTGGACCCTCCTCCATGTCCTCAGGTTCCACTGCCGACTGGCCATACACCACTCAGACGTCGTCTCTAAAGAGATCAGACAGAGCAGGACGTTTGATGACTCTTTCTGAACCTCATACCAAGTGCCCTAAGGCGATTTCTGACGGTTCTGGTGGATAATTGTCTGTAGGGTAACCACAGGCGCTTCAAAACCGAGCTTGTGGCAAAGGGTTCTCGCCTTACCAGACGTGCCAGGCTGCGATCATCACGGGCCGTTGTCTTCCTGGGTTGACCAGGCCTTGGACGATCTCTCACATCTCCTGTCATCTGATGTTTCGGACAAGTCGGCTGATGACCGAGTGACTGTAGCCCAGTTGTCGTCCAATAGCTGTGAAGGACATGCCTGTTGCATGTATGCCTACAATTTGTCATATATATCAGGGGTGCTTTTGTGAGTGGTTCTTCAGAAGTTCGGAAGTACAATATTGACAAAATTGATAGATAACAGCCTCTTGTATTTCGTCAGTGCGACGTTTTAGTACAGATGCACCATAGCCAACTGTTTCCAATCTTAACACCGAGGATGTAATTAATAGTGAGTGAGTGAGTTTAGTTTTACGCGGCTTTTAGCAATATTCCAGCAATATCACGGCGGGGGACACCAGAAATGGGCTTCACACATCTGAGGAATCGAACCCGCATCTTCAGCGAGACGAGTGAACGTTTTAACCACTAGGCTACCCCACCGCCCCTCATAATTAATGATAAAAATAATTATAAATGTTGCAAGCTTGACAACGGTACAGGAATTGGATATAAACGTCGCACTCACTAAAAAGAAGTTCTTATCCATAGAGTTTGTCCATATTATATACTTTTGAATGTTAGTTTGATTACCTGACTGATATTTAGAGAGCTCCATTCGTTAAGAATCTTGCTGCGGAAGTGAAGGTCACAGGGGAGAGAACTGTTGATCGATCGACATCCGGGCATGACATCGTCTCTGTCCGCGGGGTAATCGTGGTAGATGGAACTGTTCATCCATACATCGTAGCTGAAGACATTGATGCCAGCCGATATCCGGAATACAAGTACCCATCCATCGATCAGGACTACGTCTTAAAAACAATGATTCAATATAACTGGTAGAGGCATTGCTAGGCAAAAACACTTAAGAGTGATCTCCCTTTGATAAGTGTCACTTTCATGGTAAAAAATACGAGTGAGTTTGTGAGAGTGATTTTTTACACCGCTTATGGTATGCCACGGCCAGAGACACGCGTCACATATTGTACCCATGTGGAGAATCAAACCCGGGTCTTCGGTCTGATGAGCAAACGCTTGAACCACTAAGCTACCCCACGAACTAAATACAAACGAATGGGTGGGTATAATGAGTGGTAACACTTCATTGGACATAATGTAAAAAGGGCTGTGGGGTAGCCTAGTGGTTAAAGAGTTCGCTCGTCACGCCAAATTTCCGGGTTCGATTCCCCACATGGGTACAATTTGTGAAGCCCATTTTCTGGTGTCCCCCGCCGTGATATTGCTGCGATAGTGCTAAAACTAAACTCACTCACTCATGATGTAAAAAAGCCAATGTGGACGTGGAAGCTTTTGAATGATGCGCTAGAGCTTGGCCATACTTAAGCGAAACTGAGGCTAGAACCCGAGACCACTACAACTTTCACAGTGAAATATATAGTCCCAGACCACCGGGCAGCACATCACACAACAAACGCAGCTTAAATAAGCCTTTGCTTAAAAATACCTCAACATTACGTTTTGGAGTTAAATCCGATCGGGCGGTGAGTAGGCTAGTGATTAAAGCGTTGGCTCGTCACCCCGAAGACCTGGGTTCGATTCCCGACATGGGGCACAATGTGTGAAGCCCATTTCTGTTGTCCCCCGCAATGATATTGCTGCTAAAACGTACTCACTCACTCACTAAATTCCGATCAGCAACATTTCAGCTTCAACAAATACTTGAAATATAAGCAGAATTCCAAATAGGAATACAATACGTATGAACCTGGATTTCGCAACCATACACAAGTTCCTTGTTGTCATAGATACATGGTTAATTTGTGTTATAAAATTAATATATTTTCCTGATCGCCTTTTGGGGGAATCTTCATCTTCAAAGAAAATATATTCCATAGAAGATACTAAGGTATATGACAGAAAAACATTGATTTGTAGGGGTGAAACGGTACGCTCTTACCATGGTACGGTGCGCATTGCGGTACAAGGGCTTCGGTTCGGTATATGAGATATGATCATAATACAGAAAATTTACATGAGCCGTCTAGCAAAGATTTTGACTAAATGATTCTATTTCTAGACATTTTAGAAAAGGTTTAAAAAGTTCAATAACATGACGGTACAAAAACCGAAAATACCGAATTTTTGGATCATTGCATTACGGTATACCGAACCGAAAGCAAAATACCGTGGTATACCGTTTCACCCCTATTGTTTTGCTGGCCTTTAGACATACAGCATACTGTTCTTTCTTAACACCGAGTGTGTAACAATAACTCTATTCCTCATAATAAAAATAATCATTAATGTTGCCTATTTATTAATTTTCAATTGTTATTTACTCTAAACGAAATAATACATTGGTTGTATTTACCACTTTCACATTGGTTCTCGATTCTGGTCCAACTACCGGTTAAGGAGCAGGATGCTGTTTTCGCCTTGGTCCCTCCAGGGAACGACATCCAGGCATTACACGTGTACGTTGTCGTGCTGCCGTAAACTGTTGCAGTGTAGTCGACTGACGCACCTGTCACTGCTGGGGGAATTCCACAGTCAACTGAAGGAAGTATTTGTTAGTTAATAAAATGAATGGATATGTATATATTGTTTTTAAATTTAATAATGTTCATTGTGTTGATTTTAACTTCCGCATTCTTATTGGCTGAATTGGTCAAGTATTATTGCATTCATTTCCAAATTAATGTAAAAAATTACGCCACGCCCACCGAGAAGGACCACTTGCACCACTAAGTACGGAATGTCGGGGAATTCCCAGTTATGTGGAGGGAATTCCCTTCCAATCGCATGTTTTTGACAGTGTCACCCCATTCACAGGCGGCCTGTGTTCGAATCTAGCGGTTACTGACCAAGCCGTTTGAAAAAGCCGCCTTTTCTCTGACATATTTGTATCATGTTTGTTGCAGTCTGACTGACACGTTCTCGGAACTTACAACTTTGTTTCCTCTCCACTGATTGGCTACTGACTTGGCAGGCGCATCAAGGTTTGTGCAAATATTATAGTCAATTGTGTTACGTCACGCCACGGTATGGATGGTTCATGAATTTCGTCATTTTGTTATTTTTGTCTTCATTGTTTTATTTGTTTTTCAAATTAAATTTTGTGGAAAACACATTCTTTATATGATATAACATATACTGGACACAAATAGTTAGGGATATATGTAAAATTTATAATTATGAATAATGATCTATTTATTCATTGATACACTGATAAAATATCAATCATAAAAATACCAATATTCCTAACTTATATTGTCCAGTATATATAATATATTTTATAACACGGATTCCTACAATTTGCTCATCGCTCTTTTCATACCTCAATGAACCGAAGCAAAATACACAGTCAGTCCTTAAATGAATGTAATTACCAACTGGATAAAATCGGTGTCGGCCCGAGAAAGCGAAATTTCAATATTCCCTATTCCCTGTAAAGCGAAAACCAAAGTTGTGCTAGAAGTGCCGCGAAAGCGAATTGCTATGAAAACATCGGATTACCGTACTTCAGATTAGCGCGCGACCCCAATACTCGATCTGTTAGCCTCTTAACTGAGATGAAGTTTCAGTTGTTTCAAGTTTCAGCACTTGATCTATGACAAGTTTAAGCATCGGTGTAGGAAAACCCTCCGAGAAATAAAGTATTGGAGCTGTGTAGTTAAATTCGTTTGTTGTTTGACTTATTTGACTATTTTATTTAATCCACCGTGCAAAGACGGTCATTCGAGCAGATCTCACTAATTCTCAGTTAACTGGGACAATTTCTGTCGCCGACATTTTGGCTGTCGGTGCTTTCAAATTTGATATGAAAACTAGGTGTATCTGTGCAGGTATTCTAAATAACACTAAATCTACAACAAGTATTAACCTTCATTAAGACTGCAGTAAGTTATATTGCAGCGTCAGAAGCAAACATGTGGTTCTTTGGCGGCATTTTTGCTATGTCGGTAGTGCGTATTCTTTGCATTGAAGCTTGCTGCAAAATTGTATCCCACAGAAGTTTTGTTATATTTAGTGTCATGAAAGAACCAACATACATATGGGTTAATTCGCCCATGGTAGCATGTCGGTGGTTCACCAACCAAACCCCAAACCCACGTTTAGATTATGTCGGTAGAGTCAGAGTAATTTACGTTACGATGTGTATGTTTACAGCTTTTCTTGTGGTAAATCATCGCACAGACCCACAAGATAATTTTTCTTGATTGGCCTGTTCATCTATTCTCGATATCTAAAAACATATAGTTTCGTTAACATTGAAGTTTCTTACATTATGGAAAATTATGCTCGACATCAGTAGAGATTTTTTAAGCAAGTAATCAAACTTTGACAAGTGAAAGTAGTTTTAGGTTGTTATCGCCCTATATATATAAGTAACGTAAATTACACTGCGGTAACGTAAATAACGCTCAAACATTTATTGTTATTTATATATAAATTTCTACCATGACTACGGTATCAGACGACGACTCACACTTCTTTGTTTTTCTTGTGTATTGAGAGTTCCGGGAATGCGAAATTCAGTGTTAACTGTAGCTTGACCGTTCCCGCGAAAGCGAAACCTAAATTGAGGTTGAGTCCAGATTTCGCTTTCCCGGGCCATAACCATAAAATCGCCCAAAGAAATCCACAATCACAGAAAATCACTAAAAGCCGAATCTGCTGTACGATTCCAGCTACACAAAGTTCGTATCCGTCGTAGCACACGCAAAGGCAAGGCATGTATTTACCTGAACAAACACGGGGACATGTGGTCCAAACATAAGTTTCATCAGTCATCATCTTGGACACCAATACGTCAAGTATCGTGGGTATAGCTGCTATGTTTGTCAGTCTAAGTAAACTTAGGCTCAGTATTATTCGTTACACTGCTATATACTGAGTCTAACAAAACCTCGCGTTAGGTAACCTTTTCAATTGACCAATCAGAACACAGCTTACCAAATCGCGAAAGTTGACATTTGCACATACCTTTTGAACTTTTACCTCGAACAAGTTTTGTACCCGAACGATTCCGAAGGCTATTTTCCGTACGATCGATTCCGAGTGATGCACATCACCTAAATAGTAGCCGTTGTCTGATTGGTTAAATCCGTTCGGCCGTGTCGTGTTTGATTGGGCGGTCATAGGTCGCTCAAAGGTTACCTGACGCGACCTTCCACAAGGTTTTGTTAGACTCAGTATAGCAGTGTAACGAATAATACTGAGCCTAAGTTTACTTAGACTGCTATGTTTGTGTTCTTGACACTGAATATTTCAGACTTCTTGGATTTTTAATTAATTAACTATAACCGACTGACAAACTTTGCCAGTTATGGATAGGAGCGACAAAAATACCCTCAGCAACAAAGGCATCGGTTCAATTATTTTCCTGTTAATATACGTTTTTAATATTTAATGATTAATTCAACGAAATTATATATTTTATATATTTTAGCAAATACTTTATTTCATTTGTTTTACATCACATTCAATCGTATGGCAAATAAAATGCGACCAATAATCAGTAATAGTGGATCGACAAGAGAAATTTGCCGAGTATATCTGTAAATGTTACAAGTTTGCTACTCACTCTCTTTACACGTCACCCCTGCATTGTCCCAAGTGCCATCCGTTGTGCAGGTTCCGTCTGTTGCTCCAGTCGGCTCGTAGCCTTCATCACACACCAGCTGGCGGCGTGATAGAGCAGTGTGGCCATGGTAGGTCATGTTGCCATTCTCTGGCGAGGCAGTCACCAGACATTGGACTTGGAACGATAATAGAAATGATGATGAGAAGAAGAAGAAGGCATATATGTGACACCTCTCCTGCTGTTCATCAGCACATAATTGGAAACCAGAACATGTTTGCTTTTTGAAACGGAGAAAACAGTGGCATATGTGTATGCTGTTTAACGCCACACTCAGCAATATTATAGTTATAGGGCCCGTAAGTAGGTCACGACACTTTGTGAGACTTTAGTGCTTCCGGTGACAAACAACGATTTACGCAGCCTGGTCCCCTGAGTCTGTTGCGCCTGCGCTTACGCTCCGACACTGACAGAGGCAACCACTGCCGAATGGCGGCCTTCACTGAGGGAGACGCGCCATACATTCACTATAGGGAAAATCGGAGAACGGGTGGTTATAATTTTTTCATAGCATTTTCATCGATACTATGGCAAAGTATACGTCACCAGAACAACACCCATCGTTACTTTCAGTGTACGAACACGTTATTTAAGCAGTTTCGAGACACGAAAATCGTCGTTACATGGGCGATATATAAACAATGACACACACCCTATTTTCATCACGGACATGTGCTTTGATATTTCGTGTCAGCTCGCTATTGCCACGAAATCGTACACATAAAACATGGATCTGAACGACCACATTGATCGAATATAGTTAGCATCTTTATTTTAGCTAATATGATGACGTGTAATTCGATGATTTGGCCCCCATTTCTCCTGTTTTGTGTGTTGGAAATAAACTGAACGCCCAGTAATAGTAACTAGAAAATGGTTGTTACCACATTATATAATTAATAATAATTATTTCTAATACATTTGAAACACATAAATGATTCATTCAACAATGTTTTTTGAACAATCTATGTGCTTTCAAAAATTGAATAATATTAGAAGAATATGGCCTATTTATTATTTGTATTCATTTGGCATATATCATTTCAATATAACATCCATATCTCTTCTTCTATTTTGCATTGGGCTGATCACGGTGATGCAATAGGCATTGATCTTAAAAGGTTTAACAATAGTCATAGTATGGCAACATCTGCGTGATTCTACTGGGAAGTTGATTACACATCGGACCTTTATATATAACATTGCCTTGGTCAGTGTCGGAGCGTAAGCGCAGGCGCAACATACCCAGGAACCAGGCTGCGATTTACAGCAATGGCGATAGCACTGTTACAAGTCCTGGCTAATCATACTCGACACACGCTGTCCGACTCAGAAAACTACAGTCTAAGTAAACTTCGTCTCAGTATTATTCGTTACACTGCTATACTGAGTCTAACAAAACCTTGTGGAAGGTCGCGTCAGGTAACCTTTGAGCGACCTGTGACCGCCCAATCAAACGCGAGTCGGCCCAACGGATTTAACCAATCAGACAACGGCTACTATTAGGCGATGTGCATCACTCGAAAGGGATCGTACGGAAAATAGCCTTCGGAATCGTTCGGGTACAAAACTTGTTCGAGGTAAAAGTTCAAAAGGTATGTGCAAATGTTAACTTTCGGTATTTGGTAAGCTGTGTTCTGATTGGTCAATTGAAAAGGTTACCTGACGCGACCTTCCACAAGGTTTTGTTAGACTCAGTATATAGCAGTGTAACGAATAATACTGAGCCTAACTATACTTAGACTGAGTTTATGACATGCAACGGGCTACAAAAACACTTGTTGCATGAGTAGCACGTGTATAGTCACTGTATACCTGTTAACAGTTGTGCAGCCAAGCGTGGTAGTACCCTTGGTCTAGTCTAGTGATGTCATATTTTGTGGTCGCGCAATTTGGAACCAGAACTGTTTTTGAATGCATGCATGTCACCAGAAATCTATTACCGGAAGCAGAACCTCGCGGTCTGTAAATAAACGAGTTTGGACTAGATAATACAGTGATCAACAATCATGGACATGTGTCTATGCAACTGGGATACGATGACATGTGTCAAGTCAGCGAGCCTGACCACCCGATCTCGTTAGTCGCCTCTTACGACAAGCACGGGTTGCTGAAGACCAAGTGTTATTTTGTGTTCTATGGTAGTTTTAAAACATATTGTTAAACATACTAGTACTCTTAATGTAATGATAGTCCTCGGAATACGTTGCTTGTCATCGAGGTTTACGATACTGGGGGTCACGGGGACATTTGGATATTATTAGGGCCATTTCATCAGTTCATCTTTATTAGTGAGTGAGTTTAGTGTTACGCCGCAATCCCCTTTAAGAAGAAGCGAGCACGTCTCTAAAACGTAACGCATCGGAGAATGACTGAGTGAGTGAGTTGAGTTTCACGCCGCACTCCGCAATATTCCAGGCATATGGCGGCGGTCTCTAAATAATCGAGTCTGGACCAGACAATCCCGTGATCAACAGAATTAACATCGATCTACACAATTGGGAACCGATGACATGTGTCAGCCAAGTCAGCGAGCCTGACCACCCAATCCCTCATTTTAATCAACGCCACCTTGAACAGTATATTTCAGTCATATCATGGCATATCAGTTTAGCGTGAGACGAGTGAGTGAGTGTGGTTTTACGCCGCCCTTAGCAACATTCCAGCAATATCAAGGCGGGACACCAGAAATAGGCTTCGCTCCCATAGGCGCCCGACTCTGATATATTTATAAGGATGACCTATATGTATGAGTTATAAGCTCTTAAATCTTATACATATTGATCATACTCATAAATATATCAGAGTCGAGCGCCTATGTTCGCTCCCGGAATCGAACCAGGGTATTCAGTGTGACGAGCGGACGCTTTAACCATTAGGTTACCTCGTCGTCGCTAAAGTGAGATGCAGCCTTCGGAGTATGCTGTTAACAGAATAGGACCATAATCAACATATGAGATTTAAACCAACGGAATATCTTATCCCTGCAAGACCAAGGGAAGCAACTCTAGCTGGCGCCCTAAACTAGTGGGCAAACCAATATTAAATACTGAGGGTTAACGCGTTTTGGTTTGATACGGCCAGGGGATCGAACCTGTACGGGAAGACACTCCATCCACTACACCACTGATCATGTTGATAAATACCACGACAATGACCGTGTCACCTATGGAAGGTCTACACATATTATATTTTTTGTTTGTTTATGTGTTTGTTCGTTCGTTCGTTGTTTAACGCCGCACTCAGCAATATTCATGCTATATGGTGACGGTCTCTACACAATCGTGTCTGGAGAACACAATCCAGTGATCAACAGCATGAGGATGGAATACTCACGTATGTCCAGACAGATGTAAGTGGCGCCGATAGGAATGCACTGGACGTTGTTACAAGGGTTGTCGTCACACGGTCCATGAACAGCCGTAGCCAACTACAACATTGACATTAACAATTACGTTGAATTTATAATAGTGCTTTAGCCAAAGTATCGTCTAAGTTGGGGATATCGCCGCTTCGAGTGAGTGAGTGAGTTTTGTTTTACGCCGCTTTTAGCGATATTCCAGCTATATCACGGCGGGGGACACCTGAAATGGGTTTCACGCATGTGTCTTCACGCATGTGTCTTTGGCGTGACGAGCGAACGCTTTAACCACTAGGCTACCCCACTACCCCATCGCAGCTTCGAACAGTACATCATTTGTATCGACATGTTTGGTTTGTCTGTGTGTTGTTTAACGCCGCACTCAGCAATATTCCAGTTATAGGTGCCGTAAGTAGGTCAGCAATATTCCAGTTATAGGTGCCGTAAGTAGGTCAGCAATATTCCAGTTATAGGTGCCGTAAGTAGGTCAGCAATATTCCAGTTATAGGTGCCGTAAGTAGGTCAGCAATATTCCAGTTATAGGTGCCGTAAGTAGGTCAGCAATATTCCAGTTATAGGTGCCGTAAGTAGGTCAGCAATATTCCAGCTAGATGGCGGCGATCCGTAAATAATCGAGTCTGAAATCCAGTGATCAACATCATGAGCATCGATGTACGCAATTGGGATACGATGACATGTGTCAACCAAGTCAGCGAGCCTGACCACCCGATCCCGTTAGTCGCCTCTTACGACAAGCATGGGTTACTGAAGATCATTTCTAACCCGGATTTGAGCGGGTCAAACGTGAACAAATATCACGAACTGTATATGTGTCAGCCAAGTCAACAAGCCTGACCACCCGATACCAGTTCTAAACCTGCTGGGGAATGTCCAAAAGGATGGCGGTCGTATAATTAGATACACCTTCGTGATGTTTACCTCTTCAGTGAACCCGTGAGCAAGGGCATGGAATGAGAATCGTTTTGGCGACTGGAACCCAGACGAGTAAACCAAAATCGTAAAAACAAATTAACCCCCAAGTTTCAAATTAGTAAACAGAACGTACCTCGCAAATGCTATTAAAGATCTTTTTCTGAGGTTCATTTGGCTGTCCTGGTTCATCATGCAGGGCACAATCCCTCCTTGAAACATCATAGGTGACGGAGTTGCACCTGGGGATGTATTTGCACACATGCATGCACTGGAGCAGGTTGTCAGTCTTGATGCCTTGATGAAGAGGTTGGCTGGGAGATACTACAGACCAGGAGACCGTGTCGCACGGTGATGCAGTTGCAGACACACCATCCCCGTACACCCACAGCAGATACAGGACGCAGAACTCATACACCCCCGCCATCTGATACTGGGAGCGATGTTTGCTCGTGTCCTTCTTATGCACCTGTAACAGTTTACATGTAACGATAAAAAATAATTCTTTAACGGATCTTTGAACGACGTTTAGAGTGAGTGAGTTGGGTTTTACGCCGCTTTTAGCAATATTCAGGCAATATCACGACGAGGGGCACCAGAAATGGGTTTAAAATGTCGTACCCGCATTGGAAATCGAACCCGGGTCTTAAGCGTGACGAGAAAACGATTTAACCACTAGGCTACCCCTCCTCCCGAACGCCATTTAGAAGTGATACACATAAAGGCGAGAATTTATGGATGGCAATTCCTCCCTCCTTGTGGACCTCAAAATAAACCAGTTGACATGTATAAATTCTCGCCTTCAATTTTACTAGTCGAAAGTTTTTTGGGGAATATGCACACTGGATTTTTCTATAGAGTTGCGATATAATATAGAGTTGCGACAGGTCGTAACGTTACGAACGCTTTATTTGTAGACAGGGAACCAGGTTGTCGTTAGGCAAACAGCAAATAAATCATGAAGAAAAGCAAAAACATTCGATGCCAAATTTTGTCTCACAAAACAGCTTCACAAAGTAAAAGACATTAATATTATGAGTAAACATTCGAATTAGTACGCTTATATAGCCTTCATTATGTTTTATCTTTGGTATATAACTATTCTCTTTGGGCATTTGCACAAACAAAATTCCACAGATATTGATTTTAGCGCTAAGGAAATAGACAAACATCGCTGATTCCCATTCTATCATTTCCACAATGTGCTAGAAATCCATATTTCGATCAGTACATATTGGCTAGACTAAAATTGTTAATTCGACGTTGATCACAATACCATATTTCAATATTGTCATTTAAATAATTGAACATAATTGACATGGCTGAGTAGAGACGTTTGCTTGTGATATACGACATAAAACAATGACGCCCAATGAATATTTCCATCAGTGTCAAACATCATTGTTTCTGAAATCGTCTAATTATTTTTAAAACAAATTCCATAATGAGAAATTCTTACGCTTGATTTCCTCAAATTCTATCAATGCATCACTGTTCTATCAGTATAAATCTCTGATATATTTGATTAAGCTGTTTAATTATTGACACATTCATGTATACAAATCAACTCATTAGTTTTCTGTGGAAGTCATCTTGGAAATGGTCGCTCCCAAACACCATGCTTGACGAATGAAAATCGGAAAGGTACCGAACGATCTAATCACAGCCCTACTGTTTAAAGTACAGCAAACATCAGCAAACGTGAGTGAGTGAGTGGAGTTTTAGGCTGCATTCAGCAATATTCCAGCTATATGGCGGCAGTCTCTAAATAATCCACTCAGGACCAGACAATCCAGTGATCAACAACATGAGCATCGATTAACGCAATTGGGATACGATGACATGTGTCAACCAAGCCAGCGAGTCCGACCACCTGATCCCGTTAGTCGCCTCTTACGACAATCATGGGTTACTATAAGATCAATTCTAACCCGGATCTCCACGGGGCAAACGTGAATATCAACGAACCGTATATAACTGAAATATGAGAATGTCAAACAAGTATATAATGCATATATACTCAGCACCAAAAAAACCGTCAGTACGAATTCAAAATTAGATAGGCACTGTAATCAAATCATTACAAAAATGGACATAATAAGCGGATCAAAAACTATTTTTGTGTACAATATCTTGACACATTACTAAATAACTCAGCACAATTTCAAGATATTACGTGAACGTTTGCAGTCAATTCAGACTCTTGACTTCAGTATCTACTGTGACCATCACGAGCGGCAATAACTGAAGCACAGCGTCTATGCATGGAGTGCACCAATCGATTGATGAAGGCCACTAGTACCTGGAACCACACTCTGAGAAAGGCCTGGCGCAATAAATCGGCTGTGTTCGGCCTTGGTATGACACTATTCAGTCTCCTTTGAATTTCATGCCAAAGACGTTCAATTGGGTTTAAATGAGGACTAAGGGCTGGCCACCGTTCTGCTGTAGGAAGTCCCGTGTAGCTCTGGCAGTATGGACCCGGGCGTTATCATGCTGGACAATGTTGTTCCGGTGACGTGCGAATTGTGGTATGACGTGAGGTCTGAGAGCTTGGTCGATGTAGCACACCGCTGTGATGCCGCCATCTCTCCCTGGACCAAGGTTCTGGAACACCACAGGACCCACTCTCTGGTTCAGGCCTGTTCCACCCCATACCATGATGCTTGCACCTCCCCATGAGTCTCTTTTCATAACACATTGGTTTGAGTAACGCTGGCCACGTCGTCGGCATATTCTTGTTCTGCCATCTGCAGTTAATAGGCAGTACCGACTCTCATCTGTGAACAGAACAGTTCTCCATTGCCTGTATCGCCAGATTTGGTGTTGTAGACGTGTAGACGTTCACGCCGATGACGAGGGGTGAGGATAGGTCCACGGTAAGGTCTACGGCAATGGAGGTTGCCTTTGTTAAGACGTCGGCGTACTGTATCAGTACTGATTAGTCTTCCGTGTGTTCCCACTGTCTGGCGTGCTGTTTCGGATGCCTGCACGAAGAGATTCTGTACATACTGTCGCACAAAATGGCGGTCTGGTCGTCTTGTGGTAACCCTTGGTCTGCCAGTACGGGGGCGATCATTTTTGGTGTTGTTGGCCCGGAAACGTTGCTGCAACCTGTAGATGATCCGAACGTTGACCTGGAAGTGATTGGCAACGGCCTATGCAGTGTGGCCAGCTTCAAGTCTTCCTAGCGCCTTGTTCCTCTGAGCTGTCGTGAGTCGCGGCATCGTGACGTTGTAATGTGAATGTTTCAACCAGGTTTGGGGGTGCATTTTATAGGGCTGGTCCTTGTGAACAGCACGTGCAGCATGAGTTGCATGAAAAACATGGAGAACACCGTACCATCTCCGAGATCAGGTTGCGTATTTGAGACCATTTCCTGGGTTCCATTCTGAGTTTGGGACGGAATGTCTTTGCTCAGGTTAAGTTGGAGATGTTGTCAAAAATATACAATCAAAATATTAAATGAGTTTACAGTTATCCGTTTCTGCGAATGAAAATTCCAAACTGACGTTTCTTTTGCTGCTATTATATATACATCCTAATAGCCAATAGGCGACAAAAGAGCAGTGGAATATTGGTGAAAGATCAGTTTATAAACATTATTCTTCAAAGACAGAATGGACTACAGCACCAGGACAACAATCCTTTTGCAAAGACACAGAACAAATCTTTTGACGATTGAAAACATGTCTGAATAGTATGGTGAGGTGAGGTGAGGTGAGGTGAGGTGAACCCTCGACCTTCCGCTCTCCAGGCTGAACAGTATGGTATTCGCTGTTACTCAAAAGTCCGACTGACTAAGGTGTGGTCATATCTTACGGTCATGAAACGTTGTTGACATCATTTGAACGTAGTTCACCGTTCTGTCTGATGTGAAACAAAGTCCCTGCGTGATTATGAAACGCATCGCATCGGGTTCGATTCCCCACATGAGTACAATATGTGAAGCCCATTTCTGGTGTCCCCCGCCGTGATATTGCTGGAATATTGCTAAAGCGGGGTAAAACTAAACTCACTCACTCACTCACTCAAAATCATAGCTATTGTACGTTCAATAATTATGTTTTGAAGGCGTCCAAACCAAGTACGGCGACTGAAGATACCTTGTTAGAATTTTTTTTATGAATAATGATTCAGACGGTGGCCTCAACCTAAGACATACTTCTGTACGGTAACCCAGAGGTGTTTAAGTCTATGATAATTCAAATCAGACATTATACTAATAAACGAATGACGGTTTACGTCAACAATGCAGAACGTATTTTTTTAAATTATGAAACTCTTTAAGATCATTTAACTTCAATGTGTGTGTGTTTTTTTATTCACGGGTAAACGGAAAACAGTTTTGGAAACATCACCGAGTGAAAACTGAGAAACTTAATCATTAACTGGCAAAGACGAGCATAAAAAGCTTGTAACAAATACAGATTGAAATATCCAGGAACACAATGACTAATGTTACTCTGTTACGTCATGTACCAAATAACCACGAAAAATACCATGTGTATAGATCCACCTTTGGAAAAGTTAGCACAGCCATAAAACAAATTATCGATCTTATTTTATTGATGTTTATAGTTAATCACGGAATGCTTCCCGTGAGCGCTGAAATATAGGATATGAAAATAATGCAAACACAACAGGTAAAAGTGTATTAAGTTGTGAAATATTCAGACAAATTATTGTGCCTTCGAAATAATTCGGGTCGATGGGGTAGCCTAGTGGTTAATACGTTGGCTCGTCACGCCGAAGACCCGGCTTCGATTCTACACATGGGTACAATGTGTGAAGCCCATTTCTGTTGTCCCCCGCCGTGATGTTGCTGGAATATTGCTAAAAGCGGCGTAAAACGAACTCAGTCAGTCGAAATAATTTTTGTTTTGTTAGACCATGACATTAGTTTGAGTGAGTGAATATGGTTTTATGCCGCTTTTCGCAATATTCCAGCAATATCAAGGCGGGAAACACTAGAATCGTTCTTCACACATTGTACCCATGTAGGGGGTGTATTCCCATACTGCCTACAGTTCCAAACTGCCTACAGGTTAAAACAACATGATACGATCCAGTGATCAGCAAGTGAATACACCGATCTGAACTGTTCTACCCCTGCTAAAATGAACTTGACTAGTCAGCTGGTTAATTCTATGGTGTCTTTCCACTCTGCCTACAGAAGTTTAAAAAAATGACAGGTGTTGGTTGGTCGGACATCTTTATTCATTCTAAGAATTTTCAGACTTTACATGGAGACATGGATTAATCATGAAAAACTGATAGGTTTTACAGTCTTTCAGTGGTTTTAGTCTTTTCACACACAACTGACAATCACTTTGCAAACTTGATGAGATGTCCAGCAGCATCAAGGTACTGAAGAGGCGTTTTTCTGCCGCTCTGGATGAGCTCCTTAAGTCTGAGAAGTCTCGCATCGAGCTCTCTGTAAACACGCTTGCGTGACTTGGGGAGGGC